AGTTTGTACCCAACGATGCTAAGAAGCTCTGAAATCTACCTTTGCTAATGCTTTTAAGTGGGTTCGACTTAACATTTATTTGTTGTCAGCTGTGTAGGTATAGAGGGGGATTCAGGGAATTTATTCACTCCCATGGAAGTCGATAATGGATAATAATTTTTTATAAGTTAAATATTAATTATAATCAACCCTCTTGATCCTCCCATGTCCCAGTCGCTATCAACTCCATTTTTTGACGTTATGTTTCCTACTGATAAAATATTAAGTCATAAATAATTAAGCAATAGGTTATGGATTATTCAAAGGAAATAGCATTCATACTCCTCTCCACTCCACTGTTTTCGTTTTCTCTTTTAATCTGTTTCTAATCTACACGAATATAGAATGAGGGCAACATTGGGTTTACCCACTTGTAGCACCTCGAAGCTTCCCAGTCATTTCTGAGGTATCCTGTACCCAGTTTCTGACGGTGGCGGCGATGGCCGAAGGTGGGAGTGCTCTCTCTGCCAAAGAGTAACAAAAGTTCATTATTTTCCAAAAATATTTCAATCGAAATTTGCATTGCCAAACTAGTTTAGAAGTAGTTAGAGGGTTGGCTTGAGTGCACCTTAGCTGTCATACAGAAGTTTACGATGAGGCATTGAAAAGACATTTAAGTCTTAATCTCCGCCTCCAAAAAATTTCCGACTCCCGCCTGCCGTTAGATGAAAATTAAGAAAACATGTAGTCAATTCTCTGATTTAGACAGAGTTTACTAAGCTGCTGCAACAAAAAAAGTTAAAAATTCTCGTTCATGTTTGCTGCAGTTGAAAATTTTCCAGTTTTCAAATGTAAAATTGAAATTTTCATTCAGACTCAGGCAGTCAGAACTATGGGGAACTCGTCAAATCACGGGATGATCATGAACGAAATGCAATCACAACAAAAAAACGCCTATATGAAATCTAACCTCAACTTCGAAAACATACTTCGAGGAACTTGGCTTCTCCTTGTCTTTCCGTCTACGGAATGAGGCGAGCATCTTCCAATCGGAAGTTTTTGGTATCCTTGAAACTTGCACGATTCTAGGAGAAGGCATCGGTAGTATTAAGAAATCAACAACATGCTCACACAATAAGAAGGCCGATGAATTCGCAAAGGCCGGAGCCTATTTAGAAGAATCCGAAGCTGTTGCACTGGGATTCCCCCCGCGAAGTCATGCAAAGATAAAATGGTTTGCATTTTCTTTGACTGGCTAGGAAGCCAGGGAACTCAGGCCTGAGTATAAAAGGACGAACACACTAAACCTGCTTAATAGATCTAGGGCAGAAGTATTTGGAGTTGTAGCAACCATTATGGGCCTCTGGTCCATAGGCAAGCAAAGAAAATGGGAGTCCCATTTAATGGAGCATGGAGCAGCTTTCAACTAGAAGGACGCAAAAAAAAGTGTCCAGAATGTCCTTTGTTAATGCCCAGGTCTAACGCCCAGTAGACATAAAGCACTAGGAAAACACATAAAAACACACCTAGCACCTATAGGTGACTTTGGAAAATTCATCAAAGAATCAAGATGGTTTAAGCGAGAAATCTAGACACCCCTTTGCAGTTGTTACCGGAGTCGTATCCAACTAGTCAAATTTTTTTGCAAGTTTAAAATGTGTTTATGTGTTACGAGTGTTTCCGCGGAATATTTTCTTGAAATTTTTCTTCATGAACGAATATATTTGTGTAGTTAGTAAAGAACTATTTTCTATATATGCTTTATTTATCTTATGATCCATTAAAAGCACGTACATACAAAGCTACAGAAAAAACATTTCACCTACCATTTCTTAATTGGCTGCCAAGTATTATACAACGTTATTCATCATTTTGCCAGTTATCATTATTTCTTTCAATCATGAATGCTACTCATCCACCTTCTACAATTTCGAGTTTTGCACCAACCACATTGTCTGATTCTAAAATTCATGCAAGCGAAATTGTTTACAATTTTCAGTGCTGAATGCGCACAGCTCTCTGGAATATCCATTTCCTGATTACCTTAATTTTATACCTTTTTTCTCCTCTTCTACACAAAAGCAACCATCTCATAAAAAAGTAAAGAGCAAAAAATTTAAAAAGAAAAATCTGCCTGCGGATAGGGTGTTCTCCAAAAGTTATCAAAGCGAAAACCTTAGCGCTGCCCAGTTATTACCTGCCAGTTTTTACACATTTTTGTCCAACTTTACCTTTTTTTTTTTAAATCTTCCTCTGTACCTTTGAAATGTTCCTCTAACATGTAATAATAATTTGTTGGTTCCTATACTCTCTGCTTTTGTTTGCTTTTCGCCAGCGGCCGGTGATTGTTTACTTCAATTTCTGCTCATTTTTTCCGCTAATTAAAAGCTAAAAATCTCTTAATTGGCTCGCAATTTTACGTACTGTTTTTTTCTCATTTAGTTGCTGCTGCAATTTTATATTTTAACAAACAAAGAAATCAGGAATATGTTGGCACAAAAAAGGAAGCCATAAAAGAATAACATTTTCTTTTTCAATTCGCTTCCTTGCTCGGCCATAAAATGTGAATTATTTGTTTGAATGCTGTGTTTTCATATTTATTCCGCAGTGCACACAACAATTACAATTTTTTATTGCAATTTTTTATTTTACAAAAATGTATGCAAAGATTTTCTATAATTTTTTCTAAGGAAAATACACATAAAATAATTACACTGGCCGTTGTTTTGTAAGTTTTTGCTCACGCAAGCAGTTGTTTTCTTTCAACATTTTCACTTACACCACTCCCTTTCTGCATATTTACCCAGAAGCTTTTAGCCATGGCTAACTCATTGGCTAATTTATACAGCTGTGCCTATTCGCTTGGCGCTTACCCATTGAAACACTTGACCCACTCAGCCCACACAGACCACTTATGAATATTTCACGAAAGCTACTTATTAACTGACCTGTAACATATTTACTGGCACTTACCTTCAAACGAGCATGCACACGTGCATACATATATACATACATACAGGCATACAAGTGTACGTACATATTCCTCCTACATTATTGACACCATCTAATTTTAGATGACCGTTTTTCCTTTTTTCATTCTATGTACACTACCACCTCGGTATCCGCCGCTTTCCATTGCTCTGTATACTTTGTCAGCACTTGAGTGTATTCTTCAATGTGCGGGAAGCATTTGAAATCGATTTCCTTTTATCTTTTGTGCAATCTACTACTTTCCTGCATTTCAACCCTCAATCTATGTAGTTGTATTCCTCTTTTGTTCGACCCACGGCTTTGCTACAAAGCAAACCACTCTCGTCTCGTGCCTTTTCATACTATATCCGCATGGTACGAGCTCGTTCGCTTACCTAACATTCAACGAAAGCAGCTCTTTTGTGGCGGTGTGACCAACAAAACGAACCCCTTTCATTTGTGGCAAGTCAATCGAGGCTATTCAATTGATTTGTAAACGTCAATCGAACGCTCCCTACTTTTATGCGATGAACTCTTCAAAGTAAAAGTGATGCGTAATTGATATTTTATTTAACATGGAAAATTTTATACATTTCTGAAGCGAAGATTATGAAAAAGATATTTATTTATAGAATTAATGGCGGAGAGGAATACGGCTAATGGAAATAATAAAAATTATACTACCAATGAGGGGGTATATCTGGATCAGTCTTGGATTTTTGTTTGTTTGTTTGTCATTACACTCAATGCTCAATTTTAAATAAAGTAAATGCAGAGAAGAATTTCCGTTGGAATATAAAATCTCCAATGGAAAAGTTAGCACTAATTTTATTAAGTAGGATTAGGTTTAAAAGCCGAAAAAAATCGACTAGAGCCCACTTTAAATCCGCTAATAACATTAAGGCACTATTGCCAGATGGTCCATATAACTTCACCCTAAAGTCATTCCTTTTCTACCTAAAAGCACTAAAGATCAATAAGCTCACTGATGCTGGAGGTAATGCACAAAACGTACATTTGGCTCAAAACTATCCCCCTTTGATTGCTGAATCCAAACAAATTGCCCATATAGCCAATATATGTAGAATATTTAAATATATTGTTGAACAGACGCTGGTTGGAATGTTCAGGTCAGAGACAGGCTAAACTCTTTATGTGTCCTTAAAAAGAAGTTTACTACTTAATTTAGTTGGAGAGTACCTGGAAACTCGCACACACACGGGATGCTGCCCTTTTCGCTATCGCCTCGTCTCGGCTGCACTAAAAGCCGTCGCATATGCAAATACATAGTTCAATAGAGGATTAAATTAGGAAAATACGATAGAACCTAGTGCTGAAGACCACCAGCAAGCAATAAAGTTTTAAATTTGAAGATACATCGAAAAAATAACTGGAACGTCATATTCTTACTTCAATATCAAATTGAACAGTCCCACGAAAATTCGTCACTTTGTTTTAAATATCATTTCATCCCGATCAGCTTTAAATGACTCGTCCCGTAAAAAAGGCTACTCAAAAATACTCTAAGAAACCCAATTGAAAAATTTTAAATTTCGTTGAAAATTTCTTCTTTCGTTTTCCCCGAGTTCTGTATGAATTAACAAAAACAAGCTATTCTTGTGGTTTTTGCTATTGAATTAACTATGTTTTT